AAAGGAACAACATTACAACACCTCACAATGATAAGCGGACCTTTGCACATGAGCTGAAATAGCAGGTTCATCGGGGAAACGAAGACTGTTTTTGTGATCCATGATGTTCGAGTAGGTCGATACTAAAGCTTCTGCGAAGAATGGGTTTCTCCAATCAACATTTCGTAGATGAATACTCGCAACAGCCCTAAATATGCGGAGGAATGTGTTTTGTTCTAAGTTCGTAAGCGCTGTATCTTCGAAAACTCGTTAATGGTAGTCTAGAGATAAGCTTAGTGGTCCTCAGTTATGACCTTAAGGAGCACCATGACAGTAGAGAAAAAAGGAAAGCAGAGAACTGCTCCCTTGTAAACATACCACCAGTCGACTTCGGTGCCAAATTCAGCTTCTTTGCCCTGATTTTGCAGAATTTCAGGGGCAATGTAACGTTCTGAAGACACGGCTGAAAACGGATTGGCTTATTTCAAAGTGACGAAAACTTCTCCTTTAGGATAGCTCCTTCATTTAACTACCAAAGAAACAAATGAGAAATTAATAAATGAGGAACAACCATAATTTTCACCTGTTGAGGCACTTAATGATACTCGTTCTGTTCATATTTTACGGGACACACGTGCCGAAATCTGCAAGTTTTATGTGGCCGCTTCGAGAGATCAACATATTATCTGGCTTGACATCTCTGGAAACAGGGATTTTAGCTTTCTGTCCAGGGCTTTCCAAAGAAGCTCGGGATTGTAGGAGGTATTCAGCCTGACCTATGAATGTAACCCATCGAATGAAAGTGCAGCGAGGGCTTCGACAAGTTCAGCAGCATAGAATCTTGTCCATTTCTCAGGCACATCGTACCTAAAGCAAGTATTTTCGGTTCATTTGTGAGATACACTTTGTAAAAAGATACTATTAACACAAAAGGTAGCGGGAAAACAAAGAAAAGAACTAACGTTGTCATCAAATTCACTAAATCACCACCGGGCATATACTCCATGACCATGTATAGATATCGTTGATCCTGGAAGTAAAAATGTTTTCTACATTTCATACCTAATAAGCAACAATGAGTGATGAATTTGAAAGGTAGGGAAGCACGAGAAGCAAATTAAAATTGGATTTTAAGAACACAACTTACTTGGAAAGCATAGTGAAGCCGAACAATCCAGTCAGAGTTTGCATGCGCCATGATGTCTCTTTCCTCCCAGAAGAACGCTGAGTCGGATCGCTTGATCTACAATTGGAAGAAGAAATGATCATAAAAAGAAAAACTACTACCACAAAATAAGTCGAAGTTACAGCTGAGCGAAGCACAAGTCCGTCAACAAACATTTCTTCAAAAGTTTTGCCTAAAGGAAAACTGGCACAATTCGGCTGCGAGGGTGGGGGCATTCTGCAGTTTCGCTACTGTCCATCGTCATGTCCATAAAGTAATACTAGTCAAAGTTTATAGAGACTACTTGCCAAGCCCTGTAAGGAACACCGGGCAACTTTTGTAAAACAATGAGCACAAGGGCGGAAAGTGGAGAAAGCGCGAAATGTATCTCCCTCTAAGTCGAAGTCGGCCGGGAAAACTATCCGCTATCATGTTAGCGTTGGTCAGCTGTACACGTACATCTTCTGTTCAAAGAATTAAAGCTTAGAAGAAAATCTATCTGCAATTTGTAGACTTTGCACGCATTTTACGACATTAAAATACGGTTGCGCAGTCTACAGTCTAGGATGTTAAGGAACTGTCATTCTTTCGTTTTGGTTCTTATCGAACGAGAGCTTTCTTATCCACAGCAATGTTCCCAGCAAATAATTGGGTCAGGCAAAATCAGTGAAGGCTGGATTTCAGCGCGCGTCAGCCCGCTTCCCAAGTTGTTGAAGAAGGGTGAGCGCAAGAGTTAGTTCTGATACGAACGAACGAACGTGAAACAGTTCTTTCGCCCTATTGGATACGCGCTAAAGGTCCAAAAATGAACAAGAAAGACGAGTGTCTCGCCATTACAAACGAGCTCGCCCCGTTCGTTGACCTGTGTGGGCTTCAATCGCCATCGGCTTCAGGTCGAGGGGCTGGGTCATCTGAAGCCACACACAGTTAGTCAGTTTAGCGGTGGTCCTCTACAAAACCTACCGTATGGTCTAAGGTGAGTTCTTGTGTTTCGGATTTGCGATACCTTCCTAGATGCGCTGATCTACGAACTATTTCTAAGTTTGAAATGATTTATGAGGATTGAATCACTGATCTTCAACTTCCAGGCTCTGACGAAGGCGACTAGCCGAAACGTAAGCCCAATAAAGTGATTTAACACCTTGGCTGTGGCTTCAAGGAAATCACTAGACACACAGGCGGCCATGGCAAGGTTAATGGATAGTCGAACATGGAGTTCCTTCGCCTCCTGAAAGAAAAAACGGGCTGGCGTTGCGCCACACTCATTCCCTCTTGACAGGCCGCACCATCCGCAGTGAAAAAGACTATTTCTGCGATTTTCGGTACTCTGACATTGAATGTGTTCGTTCCAGGTGGACAAAGTAAAGCCAAAAAGCTAGCTGTAGTAGCACACCGTGCATCGAAT